TCTATGCATACAGAATTCGACCACAGGAGGGACCGCCTACCAATTACCGCGCTCTGCTCAACACGTCACCTCCTCGGGATACACGCGATGCAAGGACGCCGGTAAAGTTGTGATTACGGAGACTCCTTCAAACAACTCAATATACAAAAGATTTGCGAACATCCTTTCTGGAGTAACTACCACGGGCGGTAACACGAAGCAATGCCGGTTCGAAATGGTGGCTAATAAATTAGCGAAGCGAGTCAACCAACCTACACGGACTACGGACAGAACTGAATAAAGAACGTACTCCGAGTAGCCGTGGGTCAAGCGCAAATGACCCATGGAAAAATTTGAAGAGGCCAGATGACGAACTTGCCATTCTCACGATGTCAACTGACAAGGCATTTCGCAAGCCTTTGAGCCTCGAATCCATCGTGCTGAAGGAATGGAAAAGAAATGGTCAATTGGACGACTCAGAGTAACTATGACTGAAACACTCACTGAGGAGACTGAGTAAGAACTACGCAGCCTCATGTTCGTGTATCAAATTATCATCAATGTGATGGAGACTAACCAGAGTTAAGGAGAATCATGGTCCCGACGACTACAACGGCGGACGCACACGCGCCACACGCCACCGCACGTGGTGGGTAGAATGAGACTTCGATCGAGTTAAACAAGCCAAGGTCAGTGTACAGATTCCTGTGCTCGTGCCAGTTCCACCTAGTTCGCACAACAGTAGTAGTCCGAGAAATAATGGCCCCATTTTGCTGAGGAACCGATTCTGATCACAGATAAAGGTTGAATGATTGAAAAGAAAACAGAAAGAGCTGTACTTCAGGCACATCGGTATCGGGCGAATGAAAGTGTCTAAGAAACTGCAGTGTTGCCTCGGTTACTCTTTCAGGGGGTGAAAATTTCTGTGGCTAATGCATTTTCCTGCGTGTTGTTTGTCTAGATGACTTGCTTTGCTGAGGGGTTTTACAGAATTAAGAAGTATTTCGAATTGGAAATTAATGTTTATTGAAACTCACGGGAAAATATGGTTCACGGATTCCGGGACTGAATCACAGGATCGAGGCTTTCGCCCGGGTTTTCCGGGTTAGCTTCGTTCGTTCTGCGGCTGTCGTTCACCTGAAACGCACAAATGAAAAAGGGCGGCTCACTTCCCTTTACGTTCTCAGCACTGGGAAGTATGCTTGCCAGCATGAGAACTCGCATAAATAAGTGTCCGTAGTGCTATCAGCAGGGTTCTAGAAGGAATATTGACAGCCGTCGGAGGAGGGTTATTCCATTCACCCACTACCGAAAGGAGAACAAATTCCGTCCACCGAAAATGTGCTTCCCTCTGACATCGAAACGCTTCTTACCTTGTGTTTGTTGGGTCAACAGTGAAAAACCTTGTGGTCAAGCCTTGTTCAAACAGAGCGTAAGTATGAATGAGGTACCATCGGAGACGATGATATTCAAGGTGAAAGAAGTCAAGCACCACGGGACACGTTTCGTAAACCACGAATTTGGGGCCGGCAACTATCTTCGTAGCAGCTCGCTAGGCACGCTTAACGAGAGTAACGTCTTTCGTGCGTCCTGAATAGACGACTTGGTTGGCATATTCAAGGATCAGTCTAACGTAGGTCCCATATATGAATTTGAAGTCCTTGGGAGTAATGTGGCAGAAGGTGCGCCGAATCATCTGTTGAATTTTCAGTGCCTTTTGGGCCAATGTCCCACAGTTCAGTGAGGACATGTTTGTAGAAAGCCAGATACTCAAATACTTTTGGCATCAGAGGAAGGTGCCAGCGACCTGTCCAGCGACCACTGCTTTGCAGCGCATACATCCATTTGGAGGGCACTGGCAGTGGAACTCCAGGGTTCCAAGTCGTGCGCAAAGGGTAGACATGGACTTGCAAGAAAACCTGGAAGGACGATGACGTATATCAAAAACAGTAGTAGTCTCAAAACGGGGCCTTGATGACTTCCAGTGGAGACCGGCGATGGAGAACAGTAGGTCGAGCTCCAGGAAGCTTTGGAGCAATGAAGTCGTCTACTAGCAGGAAGTCAGTGAAGTAGTGGCTGGAATGAAGTTGCTCAAGGGCTCATTTCAGGGATCGGTCATCTTCAGGAGGATTCGAAGGGGAAACGGTAAACCACACCACGAAGAAGAGAATTGGACGCGCGCAGCGGGATTTGGATCGACGATGCATCACAAAAGGATGGGGGGATGGCATCAGAGAGGATAGTGGGAATGGGCAGAACCGTATGTAAGTAAAAAGCAACCTAACCAAATCTCTCTTTTTGAGTGGGCTCAAAAAACAGGGCAGTTATCTATCGATATCGCCGTGTCGGAGACATCCGGTATGAGCCAGATATCTGTGAGCGCGATTATGGACGGGTGTTCAAGGCAACCTGACTGGTTAATATCCCAAGGTTTGTTGAAGAGACCGAGGCAGTTTGCGGATAAGCATTTCAAAACTGTCTCTGCTGCCTCCGAGGTTGAGGAGCCGAGTTTGGTGACCAGGGAGGTTAGCAGACTTGATAGTTGTACATCGGGTTTTGGTTCAAGACTCCGAAAGAGCATCTGAAAAACGCTTTTCTGCTTTCCGTCTTGGTGTATTCGAGGGATGCATTTTATTTGCATGGCTTTTTAGCCTCGTGGGAGCCCGGTTTGGGCAGGCCCTTTACCTTCGGTTGGCCGATTTTATCCTCCGCATGCAAACATTTCGATCACTGCTATTTGTGGTTCTTTTAGTGCTACCCTTCGACGACCAGATTTATTGGTGTTCAAAGATTTGAGACAAACCCGAATCCGTTTGGTTTCTTGGGCACTTTTGAGCGGTTTGGTTGGAAAGATGTCTTGTGAGGTCATGGGCGCTGGATGCCAACTCGGAGAATTGATTCTTTTGGTGGCGCTTTCCTTGAGGCCGGTTTTCGCAGAGGACTACACGTTGAAGCCTGTCGGCTAATCTTATGTGGCTCATTTGGCTGCGGTCACCTTTCTTTCTGGTTTGTGTGGACACCCGAGTCACCCTCGATCAGCGGGGCCAACTAGGTTTACGCGGGTTCCATGTTGCCAGATTCTTAGCTTTGGCTGTCAAGGTCCTGGACGCCGACTGTGTCCACAAGCAAAGAGGCTACGTTTGAATGACAGGAGCTGGAGACTGGCTCAGCTTTCGCACCTTCAGAGGGTGATCCCCAGATAGTCGCCCGATCTTTGTGTGGACCTTTTGAATGCTGACAGCCCGCTTCAATAACTTCTGTACGACAGACGAAAGGGGATGGGTGACAAGACTAACAAATGTTCACTTGCTTCCCCTCTGGCGTAACCAATCTGCGTGGAGAAATTCGTACACAGGCTTTTTGAGGACACTACCAGGAAGCAACTGTGCAAGTTTCGTTGGTGGGGTTTTTCTGGAGAACGACCCCAAGATGATCAATCTCTCACTTACTCGCGTGTCCACTAGAGACGCCCTGGCTTAAAGTGTATGGGTATTGTATTTAGTTCTTCACTTATAATAACGATTATAATAACGTAAGAGCCACTGCATTTGAATTATAATCATAATACTCCGTCAGGATCATTAGACCTAAATGTCTTCATAAATTGTTTGTTACCCATGCACCATGCACCACTTGCTAACTTGGAGCTGATTGTAGTGCCTTCGGGACTGGTGACCATTTCATCTGCGCTTACTTTCTCTCCTGGAACCGCCGGATTACTGTCATAAATACCAGGTAAACCAATCATCTCGGAAGTTCACCCACCTCTGCCCTTATACCTCTGATTTACCTAACCACACTACCAATCTGAGTGCTTACATCGACTTTCACCAGATCCATTGTAATTCACTGTCGTACGTTATCAAACCCAACTTTTCTCACTAGTCTACTAAGTACAAATCCATCAATATCATTTTCTATATAATCACCTGCTGTCACCACCCTGGTCGCGGCAGGCGTCAAGTTTTTCTTCCTATGTATAGTAATGCACGCTATCCAATTTGATGTCTCCTCAAACTCACCGTGCTTTGCTAACCCCATCCCATCCCCTCATCTTCCCAAGCCTTAAACTTCGTCAATACCCGCTTTGGGTGACCTGGTTGGCCGTTATCCACTCCGGCTGGCCCAAGATCCACAATCACAGGATCCCCAGATGGACAAAAATCCTGAGATCGCCCACTCCGACGGAAAAGCGGGCCGACCGGGTATCGAACCCGGATCCTACGGACGGTGGGCGAACACGCTACCAACCACACCAACCTGACGCTCAGAGCGGCAGATTATCTTGTAGGACCCATGTGTCGCGCCCGCCAGATAGCCTTGCTGAGCTTTGTTTTAAACGGACGAAACAGCGCAATCTGACCTGTCGAGCGACACGAGCGGCTGCGTCGACGCCGACCGAAAGACAGTCCTCCACATCCAGAACTTACTGACTCCTGCGCCGTTACGGCCAATTCACACTATCAGCCTGCCCCTATATGTATGCCTGTACATCGTTTGGTACTTACTTGCTGTTGTCCCTATAGAAATCCGTGCTGCGCCAGTGACTACTTCTCGCTCTTGCCGATTGCGTCATTGTTGATTGTACGTTCACTTAATTCATGATGCTTACTAATCCGTTTATCTGTAGAACCAGTTCCTGTCAGTCCTCAATATACCATCTGCTGCCTCACGTCTGTCTGCTCCTATTGACTACTGGCTACGAACTGCGTATAATCAAATAGTCGCAACCGTCCTGTGAGATCCATAACCGTTCGGATCTTACACTTCCTTCTAATTTCTTGACACGCGTTTGACTTCGAACTTGCCTTGCCATGGCTTTACGATTAGCTTCACACAATTGTGGTGGGAAAATGTGCTTAATTGATTACATGAAACGATATGACATATCTATGCCTTCACTAGGTAATCCAGCGACCCACGCTGTTTTGCGCTACGAATCGGTGCTCCAAAATTGCAGCTGGTGGCCAACAAGGCAAACGGAAATTCATGAAATGTAGAGAAGCTAGTAGGCTGAGCGTATCAGACATTAAAAAATAGTACGTGAAGCACCTCCTATCCAATGCCGACGGGGCAAGAGAAGCAGCAGGCTCGGGTACATCTTAGTATCCGGAACAAAACCTTGGGGTTGCTAAATTTTGTACAATCGGCCTGCAGCAAACCGACGGCTAGCCGAATAGCGTTTTTCATCTGCTGAGTCCTACTGGTTTCACGCTTCCCAGGTGCAGTAAGCACCGAAAAAACGCACGCAAAAAACTATTTGGGGTAAACTTTAAAAGCCTGAAGATACGAGTATTGCACCATCGCGATCACGGGTGGCACTAGCGCCGGACGTCCGGTTATGTAGGCCTCCCTGGAGTTGATTTTTTCTTTGAGTCCTTGTCCGGCTTCGGGTTGTGTGGTTCTGGATTTCTTTTGCCCTCAGAGGCTGGTAGGCAGGATCAATCGCAATGTGCCTGTTTATTGCTCCACCAGTGGAGCACCACGCCTCCATGAATTCGCGTTCTTTCTTTGTTCTTGCCTGGCCCAGTATTCTGACGTTATTCCAATCGAAATGGTGTCCTTCCCCATCTTCGTGTGCAGAGATGAGAGAGAGTTGGTCATGTCTCTTGGTGGCGAGCATGTGTTCG